GTCTTACAGATTATATTTTATTATTATTATTATTTATTATTTTTATATAGTGCGAGAGACTTACATAGTACTTTACAGCTGGTAGAATATATAATCAGAGGACGCACTGAAAACCCTGCCCCGAAGAGCTTACAGTCTAAAGGCACAAATAAGTACAGAACAGTTAAGTGCATGGTGTAGCTCCTAACCATGCAGAGTTGGAAATAGATGAGATTGAAGGTAATGCTGTTCTAAGAATAAGACTTTAATGAAAAAAGATGTGAAGTCATGAGTGAATACATGAAGTGAATAGGCTTGAGAAATCTGCAATGAGCATATGGAGAAAAAGGTATTCATGAAAGGAATGAGAGACATAGGTAGGTCAAAACTGTGGAGCACTGCATCCAGGAAACTGACCTATAGCGAAAGAAACAGAGGTGTCTTAAAAGGAAAATAATACATAGTTGTAGGAAATGATAGTTACTTTGGCAGCAGCAACTTGGGGGAGACTTTGGGCAGCATGGGAAGAGGAATAGAAGTCATCACTTACTGTACTGCTGGCAATGATCACCAGCACATGGAGTACAGCTAATGACACTGGTAAAAATTTAATCTTGGAAATACTGCATAGGAAAAGATTGACTAAGAAAGGGAAAAAAAGAGAAAGTAATTTAAGATGACACTGATTTGAATAATCTCAATGATTGTTAAGGAAACTGTAAGCAATGTTATGTGAAGGGGGAAAGGTGATAGAGGAAAGTCTGGTTTAGTTTTATATATGTTGACCTTAAATATAACTTGACCTTTTAGACTGTAACAGCATACTGAACAGGTTTGTTTTAACCTGTATTTGAACTTAATAATGTAAAGCGGTAGTCTGACACCCACAGAATATCTTATATTACAAAAGGAAAAACGTGAAATACAGCAAGAATGATCAAAAAAGCATCAAGGTTTCATTTGACTTGATTTCTAACCACAGAAGCAAGGCAAAATTTAATAATAGGAATGGATGGATTCTTACTCTCTTCTTCCTCGTCCATTCACTAACCAAGCAATGAACTCTTTGGCAGCTTGACCTTCCAAATATGAGGTGATATCACTGGTATAGGTGCCTTCAGCATGTCTCTCGAATTCAGCATGACGCTTGGAGATTGCATTGCTGAAAGAAGAGCAATACTGTAGGAGCAGACTGCATGAGGATGTAATTTTTTTTTAACCTTTATTGATTTGTATTTCCTACCCACCAGACTACCATTTCTAATGAGGGAGAGGGGTTTTTTTGCTTCTCAAATTACTCATCATATTTTTTTTTCTTGATACCTTTCAGTTATGGAGGCATTATCTGTGTTATGCAATACAGTTTTATGCAGGGATGCCTGAACTAGTTCTGAACAAGCCAAATCAGGTTCTGAAAGCAATTATAGCTGCATTGGAATAGTCTTCTGCTAGATTAATTAGCTGTATCAACAAACTGTATTGTATTTTACAGACATACTTTTTGTTACCTATTGTGTTAAGCTAAAAATTTCCATTAAGTTACTCTTCCGGACTTCATCTTCATTATTTCTAAATCAAACTGTTCAGAGTTAATTCCTTTTGAATTTACATTTTGAATTGTTTTGTGAACACCCTTTTAATCATCATTGTGACCAAGTGATAATCTTGGAACAATTTCAAGCCTGATCACCTCCAGTTTAATAGAGAAAGACAATTGGCTTTTCCCTCCCTATACCTCATTCCACTTCTTTCTCTCAGATAGCATAAAATTATGTCACACTGGCCCTTAGGAAGGTAAGCTGCACTGAAAAGTAGACATATTATGGAATATTTTCCACAAATAAATTCCCTAACTTTTCCATTTCAGAGTTTGCTAATTTCCACCCAAGTTTCAGGGCTTCTAGCTCTTTGTATTATTTTTTATCTTCCTGCGATTTCACTATTCCTCCTAATTTAGTACATCTGCACTGCCATCAGCATGCTAACTAGAGTTGTTTGGAAAGTTTTTAATGAAACATTAATTTTGTTGAGCTATGCTGTTTCATTGAAGCTGCAACATTGTTACAGATTTGTTACTGGTTTTGAGAGTGTTCAGAATGGAAAGATCTTTGTGATCCAGGCTATCCTCTTTGGAATTTCTGATAAAAATATAGGTATTTCAATGTGTTTTGCAAAAACACTTACTGAGTTTTTGTTTATTTCTTTCAGATTTCCAGCCGGCCCAATGCTCTCCCAAAAACATTGTCAAGAAACAAAATTCTGTCCTCCAGCAGGTCTTGTGTTCTGCTTTTCTGTATCGAGTGGTTCATGTAACATGGGACCGAGACTGAGTTCTATCGTGTTTTATCAGCTCTCTGCAAATTGGTGCCCAGCTGTTTTCCTTTCATTAGGCTTTTCACTGGTTTACTTTTCAACACAATGGGGTTATTTTTTGCTTCAGCCTATTCTATACCAAGTTGTTTTTTTTTTTTTCCTTTCTTATTCTCTACTGTCTTTTATTACTTTACATGTTCTTTCCTGAAATCTATTCTCATCCGGTTTCATTCTTTCTAGCCACTACACATAGCTGTAGAACACAGGTACAGGAATAAATAACATAGAGACTTTTCTTCTTCCTTGTAAAAAGCAGATGTGAGATAATTTCTTTTGATATGTATTTCTTGGAATATGGTAACATTGTTAACAATACTGTTTGTTTTCTTGTTTAATGAAAAATGAGCTCAAACTGGTTTTGAGTAAAAAGTTGTGGCAACTAAAATACCTTGAGAGCTGGTCCGGGAATTTGTCATTTTCTTTGTCCTCCTGTCCTTGTTGGCTGTAGCAGAATTCCACAATCATTAGATGATTATTACCATTACATTGCAGAGCATGTGTAAGATGGCAAGATTTTATTGGTAATTATTTAAATATTATGATAAACAACCAGAACTGATACATGAGTATTATAAATAATGTCAGGCTTATGAATTTAAATTAATACAATATCTAGAAATTGTTACTTTATACTTTAAAGACTTCCACACGGATTTAAAAGCCTTAATGTAATAGATTTTTGGTTTCTGTGGACAGATCTTCTCTAGAATACAGGCCATAGATGTACATGCTTTTACATCATTCTTTCTCTCAGCTTGGTAGCTTGTGTTTAAGCAAAGTATATTTTCAAAAAACATGCCAACTCATGCCTCAGAAGTATACTTGTAATACTGGTGTAGTAGCCAGTGGTCAACAAAACCTAAAGCTTAGCTCCCTTTTCACAAATGAAACTTCAGGATTAGGGTATCCATAGATAGGAAAGTTTTATTATGGCCTAATGGTCCAGATCTTTACATTATATTTACATTCCTATGGAATTTAATTAATTCACTGAGACAATCTGTCCCAAAGGGGCTGAGACAGTCTTTTCAGATAGCATATCAGGTAATATACTGATACTACACTTGTTTTATGCAAATCCTTTTGATTGATTTTACACATATTCCCTATCTCTAATAATACATTAACATTATATATATATATTCCTTAAGTATTTTACTTATCTGAGGATTATACATGGTCTGTGATTGGAAGCTAAAATCAAGAAACTGAATTCAACTAGATTTTTGGATGTTTCTATATATGGAAATCTATAGCAATGTGACAGGAACACTTACCCATTTCTTTTAGTGCTCATTAACCACTGTACAAAGTCCTGAGCTCGTCTAGTGTCCAAGTACTTGCTGTAATCACTGGTGAATGTGCCTTGTGAGTGACGTTTCACTTCATTCAGCTGTCTAGATTCATCTAATGGTTCAGACTGGGAAGGTTTGAAGGATCTGTGAAAAGTTAGAAATTGTTAACTGGCAATGGTAATAGTACATTCTACAGGTGCATTGTCTTTTCTTTTAAAAATACTCTATGATAGTCTCACAAAGTGAAAGCAAGTGCCATATTGATCACTACCTGCCTGGTAAAATGAATCAACATAGCAGATTGGATAATGTACAATTACAAGGTCTTCTTGGATAACTAAGGCAGCTATTGCTTGCAATATTAAAAACTTCTGTGTTATACTTTGCAATTTAAAAACCTTTGCCAGTTCCAATGGTAGATTGAGTACTGTGTAATAGTATATAAAAAATTATCTTTAAGTCATGGTATGTTTTGCCTCAAACTATAAGAAAGCAAAGTTCAGGCCAAGTGTTTATAGAAGTTTGATCTCAAGAATTTACCTTGATTTCTCCTCTGTATCCTGAAGAGGATTTTGCCAGCTGCTTTGAACTATCATTAAAAGGAGCCCAGCAACAAAATAAACACTTTTCATTTTCATTGCCTGTCAAAACAGAAATAAGGCATCAAAGAAAAATGTAATCAGTTTACATACATCTGAATGAATTACATAGATAAGAGACATTGTTAATGCTGTACTAAGCTTGAAGATATTGAGAACACGGGAGGATGGGGTCCATGTCCAGTGGATGGAGATTGGGCTGCCGTGGGTGGAGATTAAAACAGTCTCTGTTCTAGTCTTTAGGCACTAGTTTCTATTCTTGAATGCAAAGTGAGCTGCACGCAACTGCAGCCTCACTTTCTTTTGTAATACAAAGATAAAGGTCTGTACCTCCTTTGCTCTGTGTTCTGCTGATGGCAAGCATTAGATCTGTTTCTATAATAGTGTCTTACTACAAAACTAGGGTATTGGTGTGACTTTTCCCCCAGCTCATTCACTAGAGAAAAACCAAAGGAAATATTTGCCAAAAAACCTGTCCCATTAGCAGCTCTCCGTTCTTTCCTTCTGGCCCTTCACTCTTCTTTTAAACTACCTTTTTTTTTTGGATATGACAGATATTGCAGCAAAAGGCCTCTGAACTTAATAATGACTTATAAGTGTGACTCCTCAGAAAAAAAGCCACCAAACCACATGCTGGCTTGTGTTCATGACATGATAGGTCAAGTTTTACTTGTTGCACTGTTGACAAAATATTTTATTTCAGTTTAAGGGCTTCCATTATGGGGTTATATGGGATATACAACATTTGGGGTATATACTTGATATTAACAGTAATGCACCAAAGTGGAAAATATTTTATCCTGGATATAATTCTTACTGTTACAGGTCATTCTATTGGCTTCAACCATGTAACAGAAATGGCCACATTTATTATATGTCTTTATCACATGCACTGTAATAACTTGACCACTCTCACTGACTTTAATGTGAGATTATTCAGTGCAAACTAGACTATTACAGTCTGTTCAAATGCTTCATGATCCACAGCCAAGCTGTGATTCCCCAGCTTGCCTTAGTGACTGGCTTACTCATGCAAGTAGTACAGTTATAACTTTATTGAATAGTCACCAATAGGAATAAGGCATTCTCTAATCCCCTAATTATGTGTGTTACAATTTCCATTATTTAATAATCAGTATGGATCAGCATATTAATCTGCTGTAAAGCAACAGAAGTTGCAATGAGTTGAGATCAGCACAATGTCACTGGAAATAATGTCATCATGTAATTGGACTGATACTTGTGTATTTGAAAGATCACTTCTGCCATCCATGACACTTTCTTATGGAAGTTTATGTTACAGTCTGGAAAACAAAGGGAGGGAGGAAAGATGAGTGCATTGAAGCAAAGTGGCAGTGGTATTTTTATGAAATCTGTTCCTTCCATCTATTATAAAGCAACTAACAGTTGGAAATGCACTGTTGTCAGGAATTTTACATATGGTTAGGAAGAATGTATTGCTTCTGCTATTTTGTGAGGCCTAATTTTTAAGAGAATCTTAATGAATAATATAAAGATTTACTAGAATACCTCACTGTCAGTATCAAAATATTTAAGGCAATCAAAATCTTAATCAAATCTTAATAAAACCCAGGAAAATGAATCGATGCATGTAAGATTTTCTGGTGAATTGTACTATAAAGCACTGGAGGCGATTTCCCTCTCTCCACCAGAAGCCACTGCCAGTCTTGCTCATATTTTCATCAGTGTGTATGAAGACTGTCCTCTGCCTTCTGTAATGCCCTTATATATGAGATTTGATTCCTACACTTGCACATATCCTGCTGCCGTACCAACAAATACTGTAGTGACCATGTAATCTGTCCTATTGTAACTAACTATAGTACTCAACTCTCACTGTTTCATTTGGAGCTGTAATTTGGTGGTGCAACACTGACATCCAATGTTTATCCCAAAGAATGCACAATTTCCCATTTCACAGACTTCCCACAATGGAACAAAAGCTCTGCCTATTCATTGGGAGATGACTCTGCTCTGATCACAAAAATGGTTTGTACAAAAATATAGTGACACCCATGCTAGCTGATATGGCTGTAAATCACTTAACTTAGACAACAAATAAAGTCGGGCTGTTGCAGCACATGTAAGGAAATTTGCCCAGCTTAATGGTATGCTAGCAGTTTGGTATACTTTTACTTAACCTGAAAAACTAAAGAAAAATAGTTTACAGCTGATTTGTTAAAACATGATATGGATTAGACATAAACCTAAGTCACTGAGGAGGAATGAAAAAATACTCTAGTCATTAATCCAGCCTCCTTATGGTAATATCAGACATCAAAAGCTATTATTTTACACAAAACATATTTAAAAATCAAATTAAAAGCCCATTGTAGTCAGTAAACAGCTTGTTAGTGGTTTCAGTATATCTTGGATCTAACACTTATGCCTCAGTCCTATAGATCTTTCAGATGTGAACAATCCCATTGGCTACTTTATGCCTTAAGAATATGTTTAAAGTTAAATGCATACTTAGCTACTTCCTAAACTTTTCAGAATCAAAATCTGGGGAGATTACTAAAAATAAAGATGGATAAATGCAGTTCTCTGAAGTTAATACAATTTTCAAGTAAGAGAATACTTATTAATAAAATAAGCATTTCTAAAAGCTATTAAACTTCTGTCAGATATGTTCCTTAAAAAATCTAGAATGTTTTGCTTGTTTAGTGCTTAGTACTTGCTATTGGTAATCCAAACCAGCAACAGCAGTTTTTGACAAGTTAAAGAAGCAGTTTTTAAAGAAATTGTTGGTTTTTTTCTTGGGAACACAAACATGTTTTGTAGAGAAAGAGATGATCAGATTTTTTTTTAGTTTAGTTTATTCCTGCTAATCAATTCATTTCCTAATCAGAAGAAAGGTTTTCTTTGCGTTATGTTATTTTTGTCACTCGTAGATATTTTCAAGGTGCAAGAAAATTGTTTTTACTATGCATATTACACTAATGGAAATTTTAGAATTTTTTTCTTATTGAAGATGACAAACTTAGTACAACTCAGTTTGAACCACCAGAAAGTATGTAACAAATATGTCTCTCAAATCTTGGATTTTTTATTATTCAATAATAATATCAAAATTATTTGAATATTATTTCCTTGATCAATGTGATTTTGCTAGTTTTTCCAATATATTTTACTGTAGATGTCTTTTGTACCTATGTGTAATTTTAACTAGCTTAATTTCATTGAGTTTTCAAAAAAGAATCTTTCAAAAGTCAGATTTGTATCTACTTCCAGTTTAAAAATACAATTCACAGAGTTACAGTAGTAAAAAAAGGGAATATGTTCCTATGAAAATGTATGAATGAATAAAATGAATTTATATTGATACAAAACTGCAAATAGCAATTATTTCTAATAATAATAATAAATAATAATACCTCCCCAACACCTTTTTCAGGTAGATGTACTTTACATCTAATTTACCTGCCATACTATAATGTCATGTGGAAAGTTATGTAAAATCTAACAGTTCTAGTCTAAGGAAATCCATAGTAGGATGGAAGACTAAATTCAATTTTATACAATAATCACAATAACTATTGAAAGACTTTTAATTTTTACTTTTGTGCTATAAAATTTCCTTTTCAGATCTTACAGTGATATGAAAATAATAGTTGCTTAAGACAAACTAATCTAAAAGTAGGACAGTGGAGCGGCAGTCTGGTTTGGACAGTTTTAAATCAGTGTATATATAAACCCACTTTGTTTGCATCCTGCTAATTTATTACCTGTTGATTCATATCAAGGCAGTATCTATAAGGAGTGAATATTTTTCAACTAATGTCCATTAAATATCTCTAGAGAAGATACTAAAGGAGATAAAAATATAAAAATCAATAATTATGTATCTCACACTTAAATTCTTACTACAGTGCATGTCTCTTGTTCTCATGGTTAATCTTCCTTCTTTCAATTGCTTCTGCAACCCAAACAGTTGATTCCCCTTTTCAGGTCATTCTCTGTTGAACTAATACAATACATGAAAAGATTTAAATGATGATGTTATTAACTCCAAACATCAGTGAGTAAAAGCACAGAAGGAAACACCGATTTGCTGAAAGATCCTGCACTTCCATTGCAAACTTTGGGCACTACAATTCAGATAATGCACTCAGCTTTCTGAAGCACACTGTACTGGTAGTTCATATAAATCTTACCTTTTTATACTTTGAAGTGGTATGTAGCAGTGGCAGAGAGAGCTGTTACTCTCTTTTCTGGAACTACAGCAAGCCTTGAGGATCCTGAGATCTGCCTAGCTGCCTCTTTTGCACAGACTTATATATATACTGTTCAGCTCTAGTAAGCATTACGAGAGTGCATCACTGCTGACAGTTGCCTTATTCAACTTTAAAAAAAAAGTCATCGTATTTGCTATTCATTTCATTTGATAATTTTACAAGCAATTTCACACATTCATTCTGCTTACTTTATGACATCAATGCTAACATGGATTTGCAAAAGGAGTGAGGTAGCAATGTCCAAAGAAGTAAATATCAAACAAAAGGGCATTAGGATGACAAACAGTGGACTAAAGGTGTCTGGGATTAGGGGAGCAATTTCTCCAAATTCTGATTTGCCACATTTAACATTTAGAATTGCGGTCCTGTTGACATCAATAGCATCTACTTCACCTATCAACATTAAATCAAGGTTTATAAATTTAATACACTGTTAACGATAACTAGCACAACTTTCCCAAAGCCCTTGAGTGATTTTTCAAGTAATTTTGTGCCACTATAGTGAATATGAAGAGTTGTGAAGTACTGCTTGTGATGGCTCCCCACTGTGCAAAGCCTAGCACAGGTCAAATTTAACAAAAAAGGTTTGATTACCCTCAGATGTAAAATGCCAACTTCATAAGTTCTATTGTATGAAAATTCATACTCACTTGAGAACTGTATGCCAAACATTCATTACAAATTGTCTTTCACACTGTGGCCTACAGATTTATCCAAGATAAGCCTTTTGCTCCTGTCTCCATTCCCTACAAGGAAGAAAAATATCCAAAAACCAAACCAGATTTGAGCTTTGTAGCTTTTTCTGTTCTATGCAACTATTGTCAAGGTCCTAAACCATTCAGCAATAGGGACAATTTCATGGCTGTGGTGGAGCAGCAGTGCCAAAGAAGACTATGTTCAGCCGACCACAGGCAGGAGAGATTGACACAAAGCCTGTCAATGGCCCTGGCAACTGAGAAAAACTGCCAGTCAGGAATATCTTTTACTCTGTCTATGAAGAAACAAGTGAGATATCCGCCTCCAAGAAATTCCTGGAAAAGTTTTCCTTTACAGTCTTTTTCATACATCACGATAATCCCTTGTAAAATGCAAAAGGGCACCAAAAATGAAATATGATTATTACATATGTAAGATGACAGGCAGTCTTGGAGACATATCAAATATGAAGGACTCACCTTGAGTTTCAGTTCTGTTCAGTTGAGGGAAGGGTCTGGAATCTCATGGAACATGAATGACAGCCTGTGCTGCAGTCTGGAGTGGCACATGGTCCAATTGGTGGCACAAAGCATCCAGATTACAGCAAATCCTCCAATTTCCCCCCACACTGTTCCATGACATCACAGTCTTCTTCAGTGAGGCAATTTTCTGCTGGCTGACCACAGCCATATTGGCATAGACCATATGATGTAATCAAGGCAGTGTATAAACTTAATAACAGAGTGGCATTCCTATCCTCCGTTCTAATCAACTTGCTGTGGTACCACAGTATGGGGTTAGGGAAACACTACACAGTCTACACGTAATAAATTGTAAATTTTTTTCTGTGTTGGCATAATTTCTTTCTGTAATAATTTTTCTACCTCTTTTCCCCTTGTTCTCTTCCCCATGTGCTCCTTCTTCCTGCTCCTAATTGTATGTTTCACATTCATTCAAAGTCAGGGATTTCTAGTCATTGATGGGCATGGGACATACAAACTTGCATACATATTTAGCAAACTTGGCTTTTCAGATATTTTTGTTTGAAACGACCAGAATTATCATCTCCATATACCAGCCTTTTCTAGGAAAAAAACTGTGTCACGTCTAAGACACGGTGCCAAAGGTGCCAAAATAAGCCTTGGAAACAACCTTATACCCAAAATCTACTTATTTTCATGAGATGCCGGTTTCCCCGAGATACTTGTCGTCTTTCTCTCACAATTGTTTTAAATATAATTTCTATTTAAACTTGATGAGCGTTATATTGGGGATGCAAAATCCCCGTTTAAGTCCAGCACTAACTACTAGAAGGCACTGGGTGTCCCCGCGGCTGCCGCGGGCGCAGGCAGGCGGCCGCGCCTGCAGTACCTGGGCAGGACAGCAGATGGCAATCGAAGGGCCGGTCAGACCCTGTTTCCACCAGGAACACACATCCACACTTGCTGAAATGGATTGCTACAGGTAATGTTCTCACTGCATGTTGAGTTAAAGATACATAGCTTGCTAAACAGGCAATACAGAATGTAACACAATATAATCTCCTCCAGGAAACATGAAGTTCTTTTATTTTTGTTATGTTTATTTTCTTGTGTCAGATAAAGTTCCTCGTTTACAGCAGGGTGATTTCAGAAAATCGTGTATGAGACAGTAGCTCAGTGCACCTGGTTGGGCAGGTTGTTACACAGGCTGTATCATCTAGCAGGTCATCTAGAAGGTGACTGATTATTTGTTTTTCAAGCGATACACAGACAATAAAGTACAGGAAAGAAGTGAACTGCCACCAAGAACCATGCAACCTTCAGTTGCCATAACTGAATCTATAGTAATATGTATTTCAAGAGCACAGCAAACAAGAGTTACCAGAAGTGGAAAATTGTAACGAGTGTATGAAACATGCATGTGTACTCAGGTTTTTTCCTCTCGCATTGTAAAATTCAATAGTCAGATGGCACCTTTTGGCAAAAATCAAGGGCAACCTTGACTCCATACTACAGACTATCCTCAGTATTATAGTTCACATATGAGACAGTGCTTCAGCTGAGTCAGACTGAGAGACAGAACCTGAAAGTGATCTGCCTTCAGGAAAGTTTCATCTCAATGTTTTTCACGATTCACTTGGAGTCATTAAAAAATCTTTATCTTGGGTTCACAGTATTTGGAATTGATCAAAGTTTCCTGCACCATCATCTCAGCGCCAGGTAATGGCTGCTATTAAGGACAGTGTACTGCACTCACTACCCAAAAAAATGTGGGTGAAGTTACAGAAGAGGTAGAATGAGAAGCAGAATTCTTACCAGCTGTACACTGAACCTACTGCTCTATCAGTGACAATTCCAGTTGGCATGGCTTTTCAGAAAAATAGGACCAATGCATTTGTTGTAACTGGCTAGCATACTCTGCGTATCATAACTTTGTAGGATATTTCTCTCAACTCTTTAGCTGTTGGTACAAGAAAACAATAATTTAAAAAATTTAAATTGTCAAGATTTGAACATTTTAATGAATTAGGGAGTTGATAACTTTTGAAAGTAAAGAAGTAAAAAAATCCCCAACAAATGCTTTCCAACTTGCAGAAACCCTCACATTTTTCTATGTATTTCTTCATTACATATTTATTGTTATATTATTATCCAACATGGAAGGGAGGAGGATGTATCTTGGGGTATGACTACAGGCCTCACACCCTCTTCTTTCTTACATTGCACGGAAAGCATTTGCTCCCTAACCTTGTCAACCATGAGTTCAGAGGCTGGGCTGTGCAGCTCTCTTTGTTTTCCTGGCCTTGACACATGATAAAATCAGCCTTAAGAGCCCTGCATTTCCCTTCTGAGAATTAGTGCAACATATATAGGAATAACATATGTGTAAACACATATATACATAAAACATACACATCATGTTACATACATACATGTGCACATATACATAACACACACCAACGTGTGCATTTGTATGGCTACACTTTGGAGAGCAAGAATGGGTTTCTGAAATGGAGGATTAATTTCGGGTCTCTAACCCTGCCCACAGCATGCAACTCCATGCTCACTGCCATGGATGCCAATGGATTTGTACCTCAGGAAAGAGAGCTATTATAATTGTGCTGTAGCCCACACTGTCTGCTCACATAAATTGGAATCGCTCCATTTGAAGCCAATGGAGCCGCATCGATTTGCGCAAGCAGAAGAACTGGCCAAGTAAGTACTAGTTACTTTACATTCTGAGAAGACAATGTTCATAATTGAAAGTAATACCAAATGCTCTTAGAAAATACTATGAATTATTCAGATTAAATATAGAGCCTTCAAATGACTCTATAAAATGTTCTAAACAGCTGTGCCTTGTAATTGGAACTGACTGGCAAACTGGAAAGTATTGAATGTAGTCTGAATTTGACTTGCTATCTGAGTAAAATGAGTATAACACTAACCATATTCTGGAGCCTGGCTGGGCTTATACTTGGTCTTCTACTAATGCTGTTTTCTCTTCAGGCCTTTTCTTCTTTGCAGCTGCAGTACTCCCAAGTGAAGCAAAGCATGTAGCTTCATGTTTGAGGTATGAGGATTGCATGTTCATTGATATGTGTAACTCACACAGCACGGATGAGGTAGGCAATAAAAATAGGTGTTGGGGAATGAATGGTTTGGAGTGGAACCAGTTGTTTTTACTATTTCTGTATACTTCAGTTCCTAGAATAAAGCAGTTTTTGCTTTGCAGCTCTAGCTTAATTCTGCAAAAGCTAAACAGGATTCGTGGTGAAAACTGGCTTGTAAGCAACTGTATCTGTGACTATTTATCAAGAGCCTGTCTACTTAATTCAGGGCAACTGTGATCCACCGTCAGAGGCTTGTATACCTTGTTGATATGACAGATATTTGAAGATTAAGTTTCATTGCCTGAAGTGGTATTTTTGGGTATCTGAAGGGTGAGATTCTCATTCAAAAAAGAAAACGAGCAGAAAGTGCTCAGCAGATCCTCTAAAACATTTGAAAGTGGGAAGCAAAACTTTGAGCATATTCCTTCATCAGCTTAGAAAAACTTGTCATAAAAGCTATTGTTGCATCAAAATTCATGCTTGCTCAATCATAAAGCTTTCAGGTTAGACATTATTCCAGCAACTCAGTGTAAATGTCACACTCTGCTGAAGACATGTTCCCATTCTTTGGCAAGAACACTGTGTAAGGCAAATAAATTAACATGAAAAACAATGAAGCAAAACTGACGACAGCATGATGCACTTTTTTTTTCATGTTTTATCCCCAAAACTGCTTCCTACAAGCCAAGGTAAATGGTGGACAGTTTGGAAGATGTGTACTCTGTCTTAGGAAACAGAGACATAAGGACAGATTAATAATGAAACACATAATGCATCCCTTGGGAAAGGGATGCCTTCTGTTATTTTATTTCATTTGACACATTTTCCTGGAATGTCCCTTATTCCATATATTTCCAAAAGCTTCTGACTACAGACCCATCGGCAGGGTGTGAACAACACACTGCATCACTTTATTACTTAAAATATCCAGAAAAGGCCAATTTATCTGGACAAATTTCCAGAGCTTATAGGATTTTCAAAAGTATAAATAAAAAGAAAGGTGCGGAAATCTAAAGAGAACTTAATAAATTGATATTTATATGAGATTGGTACCAAGCTTTTTTGAAAATTGCTCTAGGTTCCCATTGACATATTCAGGCATCTAAAATCTTTAAGCATCTGGGGTAAGAGCTTGATTTTTCTCTCTTTCACCACATTTTTGCAATGGCTTCTGTGGTGTTGTATCAATATATGAAATTGAGAGTTAAATATCAATAATTTCAACTGAATTGTATTCCTTATTTGTAAAATAACTACATTACTGAGACAACTGTTGTGTGCAGCAAATGCACATAGGACCATATAATCAACATCTAATTAGCCCCACTTCATGTTATATTTGCTTAATGTTAACTTTCTTAGAGCTATAATTTTTTCCTTTAACCATTATAGCAGTTGAATTTTAATTACATTACCAACAAAAAGCTCATTAACGTCATGTAATT